ACACTTTTGATAAATTTAATGTCAGGCTGTTAATTGCTGCTATATAAATAAATAAATAAAACGCTACTGACCCAAACATTTAGCCTAAACGGCAGAGTACAGAATCACTTTAAATATTGTAGGCTACACAAACAGCATGGCCCAAAATATCGTTGAAATATAGAAATAGGTGGCTATTTCTAGAGAAGTCTCTGTCATATTTCTAGGCTCTGTGTGTGTTTATTTATGTGTGACCCATGTGATGTAACCATTTTATTTCACAAATCAAATGCGACTTTCTAAACTCTTCCTGTGTGAGTCTGACACCTAGTGGCGTTTTCGAGATCTGTACTTGTAGGTCTACGTCTACAGTATTTCATCCGCGTCGTCCGGAGACACGTGAAGTGTGTGCCATGGAGAGCTCAACTTTTTATTGTATTAATATATTTGTAGTCTTCTGTAATGTTGTGTTGTTTTTATACGCAAATGGCTGATGTCCATATATTCCACACACATCTTTGACCTTGTTCTGCTGCAAAACAAATGTCACTAATGTGGTTTATATAGTTGCTATTGGGTTAGTGTGTCACGTGTTCACTATCTAACCTCAGGTCACTACAGAGACAACACTAAAGACAGCATCACACCGTCCTTCAACAGTGTATCCTGACAGATGAGGTGATAATATGCTACATAACTGCTGAAAGTGTAACATCTACTTTGAAATTAGTTATTACTAGAATGTTCTTCACTCAAATGTACCACAATGTTTAAGAAATTTTTCTTGAGCATCAAATCAGAGTGATTTCTGAAGGATCATGTGACAATACATGATTTCTACATTTACATAGAAAACAGCTATTTTAAATTGTGATAATATTTCAAAATATTACTGTATTTTGATCAAATAAATGCAGCACTTCTTGTCCCAGTCCTTCTCTCCGCTCTCAGAGGCAGAAGTCTCCAAACTCACCACCATACCTGTCCTCTTGATCCGCACTCATCTCCTTCAAGACACTTCTTCTTCAGTTGTCCCACACTCACTCATATCATCAACACTTCTTTTCACACTGGTATCTTTCACATTTAAGCAGGCTCTGGTAACCCCGCTGCTTAAGAAACACACTCTTAACCCAGCACAGCTAGAAAACTAGGCCTATCCATTCATTGCTAAAGCACTTGAACGAGTCATGTTGAACCAAATCTCTGCCTTTCTCACACAGAACAACCACCAGTCTGGTTTCAGAGAGGTCACTCAATTGAGACGGCCCTGCTCTCGGTTACTGAAGCTCTGAGACGTCAAGAGCAGCTTCATCTTCAGTACTCATCCCTCAGGATGTCTGCTGCTTCTAACAGTTAACCAGCAGATCATCCTGTCCATCTTAAAGATGAAGGGCATAGGTCACAACATCTGGCTACTGGGGTGCCTCAGGGCTCAGTGCTGGGACCACTTCTCTTCTCCATCTACATGTCATCACGAGGATCTATCACTCAGAAACATGGCTGCAATGCTGATGACACACCTTGCTATTTGTGCTGCGCTGGACTAACTGGGACTGGTCACTGCACTTACATATTGATGTCCTATTTTTTTAATTGATTCAATTGCTCTCATTTTTTTGCATTAAAGCATCTAAATGAATGTACATGTAGTGCCTCCTATTGTATAGACCTTATGCACCAGAGAAACGTGGGCTCCGTCATCTTTAGAATAGTGTCTTTGAACTTCCGGTTCTGGATATTTCTGGTGAAGTGGATTTACTTATAGAGTTAACAAAAAAGTTATCATGAGCATTGTAATGTTTATCATAAGCATTCTAAAGCAGATGTCTTAACAAATGTCGAACAGGAATTTTTTTTACGAGCAGTTCATTCATACCTATGCAAGATCGCTGTGGAAATACAGACCGGAAGTCAAAAGACAACGAGCGCAACGCTGAAAAGGGGCGGGGCTACATGGGGAAAGAGTTAATAAGCGGATACATGGTTTGGATAAATTGTTTCACTTTTTGGCATTTAATATTAATAATACTATGCACCATATTAAATGCAGACATTTTATATAATACACATGATCACATTTACGTTTCTCACTCTTTAAAAATTAAAAAAAAATTGTGCAAGTAACATTGCATGTAAAAAATATTTATTTCAACAGAACACATCGGGAAATCAGTTAACATGGGTACCAAAAAAAAGAGAGAAAAAAAAGAAGTTTGACGCCTGATATTGACAAAGCTGAGCTTGTGTCCCTGATGCTGAAATCCATCCATGGTAAAAAAAACAAAGGCAGAGAGTAGATTTACTGTCATGTATTGCATGTTGGTTGACAACACTTTGGCCACAGTTTAAATAACAACACAATAAAATTAAAAACTAGATGGGCTTCTCAATGTCTTTATCATCCCATCACGTATCCGCTCTGATTTCTGCCATCAGTATCACTTCAGTCCATCACACCTTCATGAGACATGAACACCGCCAATATCGGATGCAAATCAATTGTTAAACAAATTGCAGCAACAACTTACAGCAGAAATTCAGTTTACATTAAAAAAAAATGCTTGTCTTTCCTCACCAAGGCCCCAAATGGCTGATGAGCCAAAATGGCTGATGGCTTAATTGCACACCAGAGAAAGCTCTGAGCATTTGACAAATATGTAAGATGTATTTTAAAGGTTTAAAATCAAGCAGGAGTCCAGTGAGTGTGAAAACATCTGGCGGTTTGATGCACGTCTCAAAGTCACTGGACTGACGTGAGCTTTCTGAGCCAGCAAATAAGAAAACACAACAGGAGAAGAACAGGGACAATAATTTAAGGGAGAGTTATGGCAAACAGAGTGCAGATATATATATATACAAACATAAAGCACTTGATAAACGACAACAGTTAACAGGGACCGACACATTTAGCATTCCATGTCAAAACCTACATGGGAATTTACTTGCATTTTATTTCAAATACATGTGACCTTGTGACTTTCTCAAAGCCAATATTTCAAGATTCTACATTTCATCCGGCAAATATATTCACAATGACACAGCAGGCCTTAAATTGCACAAAATACCAAACAACTAAAATGATTTTACCCTTTATGAAAATTCATAAATCTAACCACACTGGGTCAAAATCAATGGGACACCCAAATATACAGTTTTAACTGTTTATGTGACGATACTGGAAAATAATTACTAGGGCTGTCAAACGATTAATCACGATTAATCGCATCCAAAATAAAAGTTTGTGTTTACATAATATATGTGGGTGCACTGTGTATAATTATTTGAGATTATATAAATACAAACACATGCATGTATATTTAAGAAAAAAATATTATTTATAAATAAAATATTTATATTTAAATATAATATAAATTATATATAAATCCGTATATAAAATATATATATAAAATATAAAATATATAAAATATTTCTTAAAAATATACATACATGTGTGTGTATTTATATATATAAAATAATTATACACAGTGCACCCACATATATTATGTAAACACAAACTTTTATTTTGGATGCGATTAATCGCGATTAATCGTTTGACAGCCCTAATACATTTTTGTCTTATACTTTTACAAAGTTTACTTGTGTCATGACATTGGCAATACTGGCTTAATCAGGTTTCAGGAAACTTTAGCCAGTGTTAGGCTATACATACGGTTCACAACCGGCTGGACTGACTGGCTGAAATCATCTGAAATCCGAATTAAACTTCCTGTTTAATCCTGAAAACAGCCCAGAGATGAATCTCACAAAAACATGTCCAGGTCAAGTTCACATTCACCTCAAAATTAAAAGAATACATGACATTATTTTCATCATTTAAGCACAATTTTGTTTCTTATGCAAATCAGATTTGTTTCTATGATAATGTGGGAGGTGACTGGATTGTGAATATGCACATTCACAGTCCTAAAAATGTAATTAATGTTTTATGCAGAATATAATTTTGTGGGGACTTAATTTTAATAAGGACTTTTTCTTGATGGGTTTCATAAGATTCAACACAACATTCGATTAAAAACTGATAAATGCTGCGTTCGGACGACACTTTCCAAGGTAGGACGTCCCAATTAACACTGATAGCATCACTCCTGTCTCCTGAGACCTTCATCTCGGGAGCGTTTCCCGAAAGCATCGTTAGCCAACTATGGTCGCAAGTTCCATCGTTATCAGCATAGTTCAACGAGTCGGTGTTTCCCGAAACCATCGTTCCAACGGACATTCGCAAAGTTGTGTGGTTTGAACGTCAGCTCTCGACCTGTGGTTAGAGGCATCGTTTCTATATTGCATCACATTTGGACGTAATAAATCCTTATCTTGAGCAAAATAAGCAAGCTGACATTCATACAACCGGTGCCGTTTATTTAGAATACATACAAATGTCATTTACGTCTTTTAGTTTTTCAAAAGATTTAAAGTAACGTGTTTGAAGAGTGTGCATGTGCGAAAGTGCTCCATTATGTAAGAACGAGCCAAATATTGAGTCTGGTAATAAAGCTAAATAACTGAGAACAATTAGAAATAGTCCTTAGATGACATGTCTGTAATTTATATGAACAAATCTAGCGGTAATTGGATCTCAAACAGTTTCATTAAAAGTAGTTATTACTCCACATCTGAAACCAACGTGGCTGAAGGATACTTAGTGGGTTTCGGGAAACATTCGCGACTAGCTAGTTGATTTCTCCAACGATACATCTTACTATGGTAGTGAAGCAGCGAGATACATCGTTGTACGGGAAACGCACCCCTGATCGATTTCTGAAATCAGCATTTATGTATCCTTCATTACTTTTAATATCCCACAATCCTGTGCTTATCATTCTGCGGCAGTTGAGCTAAAAAATAAAGATGGCGTCTAAAAAGGGTTGCGTTAGGTGTTCAGTTTGTGTGTAAATGTACGTCTTTGACCACGTCTGCTGTCATTTCTACTGAGAAATTACCATTATAGTTATTAAATATTATCTTTGTTTTCACCAAAGCTCTCTATTTTTCTGTAGATCATTAAACCGTGACTTTGCAATATGAAGGCCTTTCAGAATATAAGGTACCAATGTGATATTTCCATAATATTTCGGTTGGATCCAGCGGACGAGCCAGTGATCAAACATGCTCACCAACATATTGCATTCCCCCAAAAACTCACAAAAGCATTGCAACATAGATTTTGCTCAAATCTCATATCATAACCAGCTTTGAATCCAACTCAAAGTTTCTTGGGAAAAAAATGCAAAACATTTGCGAGCGAACGCAAAAGCATTGAAATAAAGTTTTGTTTTCCTCCCATTTGACATGTTTTCCATCACTCGGCCCCCTCAGGGTCTTTTACACACAAAAACAGGATCTCATTGTGCATCTCAAAGGTTTAATCATGATCTACTGTACCATCTTCAATCGGGACGCTGCGGCCGCTGATGTTTCCTGAGCGAGGTCAATTTCACCTCATATGTCTTGTGACCTTATCTATTGAGTAACTGCAGATATATCAATAAAGAGCACTAGAACTAAAATAGCTTTTTATCCATTTGATCTGATTCTGAACACTATCTATAGCTCTACATCAAGTTTGGGACGGTAACATGGACACAGCAGAAAAGCCACTCATGACTTTCAACATCAGTTCTTATGTGAACAGAAAAAAACAAGAAATGCAAACTGGAACATTGTAAACAGCAAAGTAAAAATCACATGTCCTTACGAATGGCATTTGTTGAGCTCGTGTTCAAACACAAGCGCTTCTTGACGGGTCAGTTTTGTCATACGAACATTGCTGTCGGCTGGCTCCGCGCTGAGGATTAATCCACACACAAACAGCAGTCTTTACACGAGCAAACAGAACAGAACCGACCCAAAGCGACTGTTCGGACTGGTTCCAGACCCACAGATGTGTGTGATGAGAAAGCAAGGGTTTACAGCAGAGCACAGATGGAAGCAGGACTGGCACTGGTAGGCATGCGAGCGTCCGAGATGAGGCGTGTGGCGTCCCTCTTCACCACCGTCCCTGTGTTTGCTGGGTAATGAGGTGAGGAGTGGCCGTCGAGGACACATGGAGAGAAGTAAGAGCAGGAATCACTCATCACTGAACCTGATTAAGAGATATCACACACACCGGCATCAGAGGATTACAGTGAACTGGGTCTGCAGGGATGTGGGGTTTTTGTCACGTCACTGTTATTCTTGTTTTGGTGATAGAGCTCTAACACTCCTTCTGTCTTGTTGTGTAAGTGTGCGGTTACAGTCACATACATAGATTTCAGATCAAAAACACCCCATAATCTGCAACAAGGGGCTTATAATATTCAATCAAATATGATGTTCCTGTAGACCACAAACAGTCCAAAGTAAAGAGTGTTTAACTCACCCCTGCCAGCAACACGCATTATCCTGCTTTTGTATCCACCAGCTGCATCTGCACGTTCACAGACATGGCCTCTCCTTCATACCCTCCTTTAGACTGCATCTGGTTCTGGATTGAGTTCACCTGGACACAGGATTAAAGCAAAACCAACTCAGACTAGCTTAGAGCCAATCATTACGACGCTAGGGCAGAGTCTGAGACACTCGTTTCCACCTGCTCATTCAGTGGATTACATAATGAAGGTATATTTCGGATATAACCTAGACCAGGGGTGTCCAATCCTGATACTGATATGCAGGTCCATTGATACATCATCAAATACATAATTATATTATTAAAAAGATGATAAAAATGCCTTAAAAAATGTCAATATTTGTACAACTGAGTTAATTGACTATTAACTAAACTTTAATTCTGTTTTTTGGCCAAATGCATCCTGAATTTTTCGTTTCAGTGCATCATTAGTATGAATGTACTGTAAAATGTGCTTTATGTACAAACAAATTAACTGGATTCATGCAATATCAACGACAAATTACATTAAAGTAATTAAAGAAGTCATTTTTGTGGGTTATATAAAGTTTAAGAATTTTTTGAGAGTTAGATAAAGTATAAATACAGTAGATCATGAAATTACAAATGCAAGTTTCTGACGTCACACACAACCTTGTAACCAATCAGATCAACGTGTGATTGTCAACGAGTGGATCTCTGAGCTGAATGAGTGAAGGCGGGGCTCATTTGCATATTTATAGAACCGCTGTATACTAAATGAGGCAAGGGTGTCGAGATATCACACGCGAGTCCCGCGGATAAAGGAATAAGGACCTTTAATTCTACCGAACTACCCATAAAGTCAGAATTTCGAGTTTATATCACTCAATTATGAGGTTAAAAGTCAGAATCGCTAGTTTATATCACTTAATTATGAGGAAAAAAGTCAGAATCGCTAGTTTATATCACTCAATTATAAGGTAAAAAGTCAGAATTGCAAGTTTATACCACTCAGTTATGAGGAGAAAAGTCAGGATTTCGAGTTTATATCACTCAATTATGAGATAAAAAGTCAGAATTTCGAGTTTATATCACTCAATGAGATAAAAATTCAGAATCGCTAGTTTATATCACTCAATTATGAGGTAAAAAGTCAGAATTGCTAGTTTATATCACTCAATTATGAGGTAAAAAGTCAGAATCGCTACTTTATATCACTCAATTATGAGGTAAAAAGTGAGAATCACAAGTTTATATCACTCAATTATGAGATAAAAAGTCAGAATTTCGAGTTTATATCACTCAATTATGAGCTAAAAAGTCAGAATTGCTAGTTTATATCACTCAATTATGAGGTAAAAAGTCAGAATCGCTAGTTTATATCACTCAATTATGAGGTAAAAAGTCAGAATCGCTAGTTTATATCACTCAATTATGAGGTAAAAGTGAGAATCGCAAGTTTATATCACTCAGTTATGAGGTAAAAAGTGAGAATCGCAAGTTTATATCACTCAATTAAGAGATAAAAAGTCAGAATCGCGAGTTTATATCACTCAATTAAGAGATAAAAAGTCAATTTCGAGTTTATATCACTCAATTATGAGGTAAAAAGTCAGAATCGCTAGTTTATATCACTCAATTATGAGGTAAAAAGTCAGAATCGCTAGTTTATATCACTCAATTATGAGGTAAAAAGTGAGAATCGCAAGTTTATATCACTCAATTATGAGATAAAAAGTCAGAATTTCGAGTTTATATCACTCAATTATGAGGTAAAAGTGAGAATCGCAAGTTTATATCACTCAATTATGAGGTAAAAAGTCAGAATCGCCAGTTTATATCACTCAATTATGAGGTAAAAAGTCAGAATCGCCAGTTTATATCACTCAATTATGAGGTAAAAAGTCAGAATCGCCAGTTTATATCACTCAATTATGAGCTAAAAAGTCAGAATTGCTAGTTTATATCACTCAATTATGAGGTAAAAAGTCAGAATCGCCAGTTTATATCACTCAATTATGAGGTAAAAAATTCAGAATTGCTAGTTTATATCACTGATTTAAGAGATAAAAATTCAGAATTGCTAGTTTATATCACTCAGTCATGAGGTAAAATGTCAGAATCGCTAGTTTATATCACTGAATTAAGAGATAAAAAGTCAGAATAGTGAGTTTATATCACTCAATTATGAAGTAAAAAGTCAGAATTGCAAGATGTAAACTCACAACTGCGAGAAATTGTGAGATAAAAGTCGCAATTACCTTTTAATTTTTATTTTCTGTGGCAGAAACAAGCTTCCATAGGTTTGCTCCCCCTGCAGTGCATCTTACGTCCCCACTTTCTAACTGTTATTTCCATATGGAGACCATCAAAACATCCATGTACTTCAGAAAGAGCAAAGCAAAAGGGAACTGCACAAGACTTGCAGTGTTGATCACTAGATGAAATTGTCTCTGTACTTACAGAGTTCATGCCACTGAAGATATCTCCAGATCCTACGTGGGCCGTGTGGACAAAATTGGTTGGTTCACCGATCATACTCCGATCTATACGTCTCCGCCTCTTCTGCAGAGTGAAAAACAACACACAGACAAGCACAGGCAAGATTACATTAACCATGTTTGTGTGTTACTCAATTAAATCCTAAATTAATCAGTTTATAAACTGTTAGATTCATAAGGATCACATTTATAATCAGGGCTTAGCCATCATTTCATAAGTGAGGGGGACAGAAATGTCAATAAGGCTTTTTTTATCACAGAATAAGGCAGAAAGTTGAATGAAATATATGAAAATATACAGTTTGTTATATACTGTAATAAAGAATATGTCAATTAGCACTGCATTCATATATGAAAATACCCAGAGATGGCTTGAAAAACATATATTGTCAAATTGTTGTCACATTTCTCCTTCCTTTGTCCATATAAGGGATTTTCCGGGAACATCATAAGTTATTACTTAGACTTTCTAAAATGAAATGCTTCCAGTATGAATGAAAATTACATTACACTAGCGTTGCTCCGTATTTACGTCTTATTAAAAAAAAGCATATTCTGCATATCCTACGTCCATGTTTTGGGAGTCTTTATTAACTTTTTTAAGCTTGAAAGTTTTGGTGCCAAGGACTTTCATTGGAGGGAAAGAAGTCTCTAAGATTTAATCAAACTATCTTAATTTGTGTTTTGAAAATCAATGAACTTTGTGGATTTTGGAACAACAAATTTAGATTTTTAGTTGAACTAACCCTTTAAGGTAAACATGAAATGTTCATTCTACTCTTTTTTTCCCCTCTGTAATCGGACAGATTTCAGACTGAGACTGGATATATAACAATATTTTTCTTTATTTATAGGTTTTGTGTATGATGCTGATAATCCGGGACTGATATAGATGCTGGTCCTGTATGCAGGTTTCAGGGCTCATCACAGGACAGATGACAGCTCGTAATTGGGACATATCATCTTTGCTCCGGGGGAAATGTGACCTAATTTAATAAGCACCCATCTTCTTAAATTACACACGGATTTAAGATGAACCGCCTTTATATATTAAGTTCAGCAGAAAACCTTTGCACTAATGTTACTCATTTGTGTAAAGCAATCCTTAGAAGAACTCATTACAGTAAAACTATTAGGAAAGGGAATAGAGAACTGAAACTGAATCAAAAAGGCGTTTTGGATTTATAAACTAATTTGGGTTTATATCATTGAATGAGGGCTTGGATTTAAATCCTTTTTATGATGTTTTTTGTTTTGTTTTTTTGTCTCTGACATTTCAAGTGTTTTTGAGTTTGGAAATAAAATGTATTGGTGAATGTTAAATGCTGTAAAGAGATGTTGGTCACATGACAACCAATCAGATGACTTAAGGCGGGCGTACACGGTGCGATTTTTTGCTGTTTTACGAGCTCGCCGATGATTTTTTTCACTCGGGGGAAATCGCGTGTAAATCGGTTATGCTCGCATGTCGCGGCTCGTATCGTGTGCGAGGAAGATACGAGCTGAGCCGAGCACCTCTCGACCTTCCGATAATTTTTAAGCATGTCGAAAAAGTTCGGGAGCTGTCGGCTTGCATTCGTGAGGTGTATGCGGTTGAATGAGCCGATTTGTCAATCTATCTGAATTTGACCAATCAGCAGCTGAGGAAATCCAGAGAAGAAAGACGAAAATGGTGTGGACTACTAGAAACACTGCTTTAATTAATGTTTTTATGATGACTTTGTGAAAGGTTAACTAAACAGCATCTGCCGTGTTCCTACTGGCCAGTATTTGGCATAGGGCCTATTTCATTCTGAAACAACTGTAGGCTATGATTTTGTTTTTGATAGTGCTATACATTTCGTACAGATTCTCACATCACGATGATCATTACGTTTGCATGTTCCTAAAAGCAATTACAGTTTGTCTGCAGCCTAAGCTTTTTTTATTAATGCCGACAGAACAATGTTGCCAGATATTGCTACGAAAAACAAGCAAAAACTAACAAAAACAAAGAAATTATATAAATATCCAAAATAAGTTCAAAGCTTGTGTTTTGAAAATAAGATAAATATATTAGGAACCACTTTAATGGGCTCTATGCACGGCGTTATTTCCGGTGAAGGATTAAGGATGCTCGATAACTTCCGCCGATCATAGAGTCCAATGCAATACCGAGAATTTATATTGAATTTTATACTCCATGGTTATACTAATGAAACATTAGTCACAAAAACCGATAAAACAGACACCCCTCGTTGTGTTTATGTTTCTTTTTAAAATTATATTAAATAAACATAACTATATATAAAATTACATCTAAACGTATGTACGTTTCGTTTCAAAGACGGGGTCGGGAGGACAGTAAATATTGAAGACTCTGCCATAATCCCGTTTTCTCCGGTTTTCCTCCGCTTTAATCTACACAACCGGAAATGGACGAGCATCCTTACGTCAAATGCGGAACTTATGCGTGCATATAGCCCATAACTTCCTAAAGTGTGACATTAATCCAAGAAACGAGTCCAGATACTGTCACCTTTCCATTATGTGGATCTGACAACACGGGATCTGGCACCCGCGCCCTCACTCACAACGCGCTCAAGCTCACTCAAGCCCCGTTCACGGCGATAGCTTCTCGCAGCAAAATGAATTGCAAACTCTCACACATGAGGTGGATTAAACGGCTAATTAAAGAGAGCTTGAAATTTTATTTATGAATGTGTAGCCAACCGTAACTACGTTTTTTAACTCATTCACACACACACACACACACACACACACACACACAAGGGTGACCGGACGTCCTTTTCCCGGTGCTGAAAACGAGCATATAGCAAAATAATCACGGCTTGAATCAATATTTTATATGCAGTTATTCGAGTTTTTAGGGCGGAACTTCGTGCGATTTCTTCGGAATTTAGCAGGTCGTAAAATCGTGCCGTATATCACTGCCTCCGTACGATTTTTGGATAAACTCACTCGTAACGTGTGCCTGGACATACGATCTTCCGACCATCAGAATTCGTACCGTGTACGCCCGCCTTTAATGAACGATGCTTCCACCTGTTGCTGAGTTTGTTTTGTTGCTCTCCCCGAGGACGGCATGGGCCAAAACGCGTTAGAGAGTTTAAAAAAAAAGTTTTTGCATGTAGCCATCTGATGATAATAAAGGCCTTTAATTTTAAATAGTGCCATGGTCATCCTATAGTTTTATTTAGCGGCTTTTGCACTGGAAGAACCTTTTCTTAGTAGTTCCTAGAAGTATTGGTGGAAGTACCCGTTTTCTGGCATGTTCGTGTTCGCACCGCAGGAACTAGTAACCATTTTAGTTCTAGGAACTCCTTTTGGAGGAACTAATTTCGCTCCTACTTCAGTCGGTCCAGTCTCGCGTAGGTCTGGACTCTATCGCAGCTTTTCTTGTCCAAGGACTGCCCAAGAGGACGTTTGACTGACATGTAACACAACCAATCACAGTTTGTTTTGTTCCGCTTCATGTTTAAAGGACAACTCCGGCGCAAAATGAACCTGTGGTCTAATTACACATTGCTACCTAGTCAACCGTTATCTGAGATTTGTTTTCATGATTGCCGAATGTAAATAGTTTTATCTCTAAAAACAGTTTGGCCTATAACGCTAGTATAATGCTAGTATATAGGGCATAGAGTAATGACAAATAAAAATCGCTTGTTATTACCACTAACAAGGCTCAAAATAGCCCCACACCAACACGACAGCATAACAAGGGTCCCTACATTCAAACCGAAGCATTGAGAACTTTGTTAGTGTCCAAACAGTTTAATAAGAAGATATTTTATACACACAGTCAACTTCGCGAATACAGGAAGAAGCCATCTTTGAAAAATAGTCTCTACCAGTCGATCTACGACACCGATCCAAGTGCGCTGAACTGTGCAGAATCTCATATGGTCCGTTGTTTCCAGAAGAAACACAAGCACAAACCGTTTACTTCTCTTCAATATGTACACGTAGCCTACTGTTCGCGCTCACTTTATCACCTTATTCACATCTCACCAGCGCACTTGGATCGGTGTCGTAGATCGACTGGTCGAGACTATTTTTCCAAGATGGCTTCTTCCTGTATTCGCGAAGTTGACTGTGTGTATAAAATATCTGCTTATTAAACTGTTTGGACACTGACAAAGTTCTCAATGCTTCGGTTTGAATGTAGGGACCCTTGTTATGCTGTCATGTTAGTGTGGGGCTATTTTGAGCCTTTTTAGTGGTAATAACAAGCGATTTTTATTTGTCATTACTCTATGCCCTAGTCAGTGACAGAGAACAAGCACAGGGTTCTCAAGTCTCACGCATTGGCCGTGAGACACACGCATTTCGACCGGTTCACACGCGCACACGCCACACTGTGTATTTCTCACGCTGAAAAGGCAATGCCAACCAAGTTGTCCTGGCTGAAAGCTTTCTAACGTTGTATACGAGGCGCAGGCAAACAAAGTGAAGTTTCCTGCCGCCAGCGCGTATCTCCGCCAGATTGCGTTCGTTACTAGGCAACATATATATGCGCGCTGCGTGCACCACTGATCTATACATGACATGTCATTCAGTAGCGCGAACACACGGAAATGGACGGAACATCCTCGGCCACCGTACGTTCGTTACTAGGTAACCAACAACATCGCGCGAACACATGTGTCGTGATGGAGAAGAAGGTAAGTTGGAAGAAGCTCGTCTAACATTTTTGGGCTAGAACATTTAATATGTAGCCCATCGTACATTATTATTGATGCTGTCAAAAACTCTACAACTACTTTGCAACCAGGCTCAGTTTGGCTATCTTACGTTATCTGAAACTAAGAGAAATATAGTGTGGGTATGGAAAGGAATGAAGATTTACTGATTTTATTTTAAATTATATTATACTGTAATATTAATAGTCTTTCTAGTTACATTAAGGATGTATTACAGCAGATTGCTCTGGGTAATATTTAATAATTGTCATAATGTTGCATTTGTATTTTTCAAAGATGTCAGGAAAAAAGCAGAAAGATATTTTGTCATTTTGGGCACTAAAGGGTAAGCCCCCGAAAAAAAGGTTGCCAGATTAGA